AATGACTATCTTCTGATGACTCCTCTCTGGCTGCTGCCTTGACTGTTTATTTCAGTTTCCCGCAACTGCCAATGGAAAAATCATGGTGAAAAGGAAAATATTGTGATTTGGAAAATGGTCAAGACATGGGAATCCCTCTGCGGCCAACCCACCCACGTGGAGGTCAGAGGGCGAGGCCAAAGCCAGTCCAGCACAGGGAACCAGTGCTAAAAGAGGTGCAGTGACATTTGCAAAAGGAGGTGTGTGGTGATTCTAAACATTTTTCCCTCCTCTTCCCTGTTGTGCCTTCTTTGCCCAGCCTGGACACCTTCAGGCGGGTGGGTGGGCACTCCCAAAAAAGTTCAGCATTGAGACCAGAGCTTTCCTATGGCACAGAAAGAAAGGGCCTTATCGACCCAAGGGCAAATTCTTTGGCTGCTGCTTTTGACTTCTGTCTGTGGGTCCCAGCCTAAAGTTAACTTGTGTGGAACCCTTGCCTATCCAGCAAGAGAAAAAGCAGGTTTGGACTGACAGACAAACCATATGAACAATCTGTAAAACCCCAACATAAAAAGATGCAACTATTTCAAGATTTACACTGTGCAAATACACATACCTAACTGATGCTCGGAGACAAAAATAGTTAACAATCTTTCTCCCGTTAACTTCTCATTATCTATCTGCGCACCTCTATGGTGGTGACTGGAAGAGAGACTGGAGTGAGTGGATACCCCCACCCACTACTGGAGGCTTCTACCGTGCACATATACTGCATGTGTAGCAAGGCAACTGGCCAGTCAGCCACAGTTTAATTTTTGTTTCAAAGTAGTGGTTTTTGTCTCTGGTTGTATATTGCTTCATTTTAGGGGCCTTTTGATCACACATTTTTCCTGGAGGTGAGAGCTTTTTCTCCCTATGTTATCCAAGAAGAATCAGCAATCATGGCCATATAGCCAAGCTACAAGCATACCCCATAATATTACACCATTGAGACAAGAGCCAATAACAGCTGCTAAGCATTACATGCAAAAAGTAAAGCTCATCTCCTGATCATATCCACCAGGAGACACCCAGTAAGCTTATTAACACAGCAACAACATCCATTTAAGCATTAAAAATCCACATAACCATTGGAAATGATGAACAAAAAACAACAAAAGATATCAAAACATGGCAAAAACCAGAAAAGAGTAGCTGAGACAAAAGAGCTGGAGACAGACAAAGGTTTTCTAGAAGAAGAAGAGTAGGTTTTGGATTTGTCTGAGAAGGAATTCAGAAGAATGATATGGAAACAAATTCAAATGCTCCACAAAAAGGGGTGGAGAAAAACAAGGAAGAAGTCAGGAAAGTATTACAAGAGCAATCAAACAAGATGGATACAGCATTGGAAACAATTAAAAACCTGCAAAAAGAGGTTTTATTATTAATCCAGATGATTAATAATAAAATATCAGAGATGGACAATACACTGAAAGGGGAAAGGAGCAGAATGGAAGACATGGAAGCCAGAACCAGTGAGCTAGAAGACAAATCACTCAATATTGTTAAGATAGAAGAGCGAGCAGAAAAAAAGGATAAAAATTCTGAAGAGAGTCTAAGATTCATGCTGGACAACACGAAGAGGAACAACTTAAGAATAATTGACATTCTGGAACAGAATGAATCAGAGAAGTCCACAAAGGAGATAGTGGAAGAGCTTCTGGAGGATAAATTTCCCTAAAATCTTTAAATATGAGAAGATAAACATTCAAGAAGCCAAACATACTCCAGGAAGGATAAATCCCAAAAGAAAATCATCAAGACATATCATAATCAAGCTCTCTAAAATCAAAGACAAGGAGGAAAATTAAAAGCAGCCAGGGAAAAGAGGAATGTTACTTACAAAGAAAAGCAAGTCAGATTAAGCTCTGACTATTCAGCAGAAACCATGCAGCGAAGAAGGAAAGGGGGAAATATATACAAAATCCTAAAAGAAAAAAACTGACAACCAAGAATCATCTATCCAGCACAACTGTCAATCAAATATGATGGTGCATTCCAAACATTCCAGGATAAACAGAAGCTAAGAGATTTTGTCAAAGCCAATCCAGCATTTCAAAACATCTTAAAGGGAGTTCTTTGTACTGAAAACCAGCAAGAACAGACAACAGCCAGAGATTGACAGGCGTGGCAACACCACCTGAAACTCATACAGTGGATAGAAGAGTCCAGAACAGACCAAAATTACAACAATGAATTCAAAGGAGCTGGAAAGTCAACTGACGATCAAAATAATAACAATGTCAAAAAAGGGGAAAAAGTCAGAACAGAGATCCAGGTGGTAAGGAGGTCAGGTTGAATAGGATACAATAGACTGTCTTAAATGGAGGGACAAGTTAGTAGACAAGGTAACCCCAAAGAAAGTTAATACTTCATAATTTACCATGAAAATGAACTTCCAAGCAGAACAAGCAAACATGAAAACTAAGAAGAAACTGACAGGAAATAGCACAACAAACACAAACTCAGCACAAGAAGACATGTAGAACGAAGGAACGAACAGGACTCCCCAAAAATTAACATAATGGTAGCAATTAATTCATACTTATTGATAATTATATTAATGTCAATGGATTAAATGCACCAGTGAAGACACAGAGAGTGGCAGAATGGATAAGAAAACAGGACCCTTCAATATGCTGCCTGCAAGAGACACACCTTACATACAAAGACAAAAACAGACTAAAAGCTAAAGGAAGGAAAAAAATATATCCCAGCTAACTGCAACAATAAACAAGCAGGAGTGGTAATACTAATCTCCGATAAAGTAAACTTTAAGACAAAATCCAGCATAAGAGATAAAGAAGGACACTACCTCATGATCAAAGGATCAATCCAGATAGACGACACAACCATAATAAATATCTGTGCTCCCAATGAAAGAGCACCACGATATATGAAGCAAACCTTACTAGAATTGAAGAAAGAAATAGATAAATCTACAATTATAGTGGGAGATTTTAATACGCTTCTTTTGAAAAGGGACAGAACAACCAGAAAGAAACTCGACAAAGTTACAGAGGAACTAAACAATACAATCAACCTACTTAACCTCGTAGATGTGTGCAGAGCATTCAACCCAACAGCACAATATACATTCTTCTCCAGTGCACATAGAACATTCTCCAGAATTGGCCATGTGTTAGGTCACAAAGTAAGCCTCCATAAATTTGCAAACATCAGAATCCTACAAAGCGTCTTTTCAGACCACAATGATATAAAACTAGAAATCAATAATAAGAAGACCAAGGAAATAAAGTTGAATACATGGAAACTGAATTACACCCTGCTGAAAAGTGACTGGGTAAAAGAAGAAATTAAACATGAATTCACAAAGTTCCTAGAAACAAATGACAAAGAAAACACAACATACCCAAATCTTTGGGACATGGCAAAAGTGGTGCTGAAAGGACAATTTATTGTGATAAATGCATACATCAAAAGGGAGAAAAGGACCAAAATTAACACATTAACACAGGCTCTCCAACTTTTAGAAACAGACCAACAAAGGGAACCTACAGTCACCAAAAGAAAAGAAATAATAAAAATAAGAGCAGAAATATATGAGATGGAAAACAGAAAAGACTATAGAAAAAATCAACAGAATAACAAGTTGGTTCTTTGAAAGGATTAATAAAACTGACAAATTATTGGCAAAACTAACAAAAGAAAAGAGGGAGAGGACACAAATAACTCGCATGAGAAACCACATGGGCGTTGTCAAAACGGAACCAAACAAAATCAAAAGGTTAATAACAGAATACTATGAAGAGTTGCTCTTCATAAGCAGAGATGTCAGCTTGAGGACTAGGGTGCGCCTGACCCAGGCCATTGTGTTTTCAATAGCCTCATATGGATGCGAAAGCTGGA